AAGTTTACTAAACAGCTGCTGAGCTGGAAACCGTGGTGGTGCTGGGGCAGCAGGATCTCTGGTTCTTATTAGGAAAAGGCTAATGTTATATCCATCTTTAGGCAAGGCAAGAAGTAAGGCTTGGGAGGAGGAACTGTAAACAAGTGGGGCTCATCTCAGTCCCTGGAAAGATCATGGAGCATGTTCTCTTGGAAATCATTTCCAATCATGTATGGACAGAAAGGTAAACCAAGAGCAAATCTTTCTTGACAAACTTGAATTCAGTCTGTGATGAAATACCTGCCTACATGTGCTGGAGAGTGCTGGATAGAGTTGGCTTCAGTGTGTGTTTTGACATGTCAAAAGCAGATGAGAAAACCAGACTGCTCTCAGAGGTGGTAGATGATATAACAAGCAGCTATAGCCACAAACTGGAGGTTCAGGTTGGACATAACAAAAGACATTATCATAGGAGGGTAGTGCAGCAGTGGAAAAGGTTGCCCAAGAAGGATGTGGATGTTTCCAGACTTGACCAAAGTAACAGCTGACCTGTTCAACCAGCGCTGGCATCTGTCCTGCTTCCAGAGAGAGTTTCGAGTTGATGACCTTCACAGCCCTCTTTGTCCAACATTTCTGTGGTTATGTGTTTGCCACTGACCTTCAAGCAGTGCTTCAGCAAAGGGAGCAGTGAGCTACTCCAAGCACAATACCTTCATTCATTCATGTGACATAGTGCAGCCACACGTGTCATGACTCTTGTTCAGACTTAGGCCCTTCTAATGCAATTGTGTCATTCCTGTCTGGACTTTAGTAGCACTCTGTGTGTTCGCCAGGACTGCTGAAGGTCCCTGCACCGGACTGCAATGGGAATCCACGTGCCAGGTAAGCCAGGAAAGGAGCTTAAGGCTCCCTCTTCCCCCTAACAGTTTATTATCTGCAGCATCAAAGAGAAAGTGAGTTTCATCAAGGCATTTGCATCATCGAGTCAGTGCCATCTCCCATTGTGCCGGTTTGCAGGAAAGGGCAAGGCTGGGTGGAGCATCGATTCCTGCCTCCTTCCACTCCCCTCCCTGGTCCCTGCGTCTGCACCAGCACCCAGCATGCCACATACACCACTGCTTTCAGACCTCCACAGCCAAGAGGAATCTGGGAGAGTAAATGAAACACAGCACCCAGATGTGCTTTGTAGCTTGTTTTGGGAAACATCATTCTCCTTGCTGGGGGAAAGCTGTGGAGTGATAATGCAGCAAACAGGAAATGATTCACCAGTTTTCTGCACACATCTCAGGCAATATTTGTGTTACAATAAATATACTATTTAATTTTGCCCTAGAAAGTGCTTATAAAATTAACAACAAAGAAACACCATTTCTTGTTTTCACCTTTGAAGAGATACAAATGTCTGTTTAAGATTGCCCACATATTGCCTTCATTGAGTTGTTTACTGCAACAGTGTCTTATTCTTCACTGACTAACTTTCCTTACAGTGCCTGCCAAGCACAAATTAGGTCAACCTAAGCAGCAGTATGAAATGTAATTAGCCCAAAACCTTCTTAATTAGTGCTGTTATTCAGGGTGGGGAGAGCTTAGCTCACAGTGAATTGGGGTAGGGCATGCTGGTGGAGAGAGAATCTTCCTAAGGAAGGGTGGATCTAACACTGGATGGCTGCCCAATATCTTTTGAAATTTTGATTGCAATGTTTCATGACTACAGTGAGGACTGTAATTTGTGCCTGTAGGGTGCTCTGCATTGCACTAATAGATTGCAATAAAACAACAAACAACAAACTAATCTTATAGACAACACCTTGCAACGAGAATCAGTGATTCTAGGTGTTCAGTGACAAAAATGTTGGTAAGAAACTGCTTCCCTCCTGCCAGAGGCACCAGTGGGGCATTGCCACCTCTGCACAACAGCTCCCATTGGAGCGGATGATGACGGACTGGCATCTTTTGCACTGTGACCGTATCTCTGGGGTCCAGTTCAGGAACCCCCTTTGCAGGGGACACAAAAGATCAGTGAGGCTTCCAGTGAGCAAGTACTTGTAACACCATATTTGATGTTGTTGGCATCTTAACTGTCAGAGAAGCCTGGGGCTAAAGGGGTGAGATTGTTAGTTTGACACCTCTGAAGACAGTCAATTCATGAGAAACTTATGCTAGCCCTTACCTGAGCAGTATTTGGATGAATAGATTTCCACTTTTTGTCATCAACCAAATTTCACATTCTCTCACCACTCCCAGTCAGTATAAAACAGTGACCAATTTCACTTAAATAAAGGAAGAAATGCTAAACCAGCTTTTCATTTCTGCTACTCTGCTCAGTTTTGACTACCCTCATAATGATCTTCCATACGGAGTTAATAAATTAATTTTCATTTTTCCGTGTGCAAGTGCTGCCATGTACTGATGCAGGACAAGTTACTGATGAATAATTCTGATTAATATATAATACGTTGATGAGATTCTCCTGAAGTAAAGGGCTAAATATAGTATTAGTGGACATAGACTGTAATAAAAACGTACAAGGACCAATACAGAAAAATATGCATGGGAACAACCTACAGAGCTGTGAAAAGCAATGATTTTTGTACTGGCTATGCATGAGTCAATTCATGTCTGAAGGCAGCCCAGATATGTTCATGTAGTATTGCACTCAAGCTAATAAAGCTTGGAGAGATGCATGATAATAGGATATTGTGTGCAAATTCCCATTCCCAGTGGGAAATCATTATATTGCAAAGCAGAACCACAGATCTGCACATAAGTCCTTCACTAAGTTTTAAAATATGACCTAAGTGTGGTATAAACTTTGTGCTGATCAACCACACAGGGGTTTTTTGTCTACTGTTATTTTCATGAGAATTGCATTTTAGCATGGAAATTCAACATCACTTTCAGGACAAAGAACTCTCATTTAAGTGTCCTGTCCTGAAATCTCATCATCTCGACAATACATCAAGTCTCAGGGTTTGCCATGGTTCTCATCTAGGTCTGATTTACTGAGGAAAAGTCTTAACATATCCTAGGAGTTGGACTGCATTCATCATCACATTCTTTCAAAAGCTGAGAAGGTGGCTATTTTAATATATGGTGTGCAAGAGCAAAACAAATCTGATTATAAAATGGTTACACCAAAGAAGCAGTAAAAATGTTTTTCAGGCTCACTACCTAGATAGTAACTTACTAAGACTTATTTTAGTTTTGTATGAAGCCTGCAGCCATAGAAGCTTGTCACAAATATAAGGGTGTGTGTTCACTTTTAAATTATCATCATTCGAATTTACCAGTGACTTCTGTGCATCCCATTAGCAAGAAGGAATGTTTGCACTTCAAAACTAAATATCTAAGTGCATATTTAAACCAGCAAAGTGTGATCTTAGATGCAGAAACTGATATTGAATGTGTTCCTCAAAATGTGTTCCTCAAAATCTCTCACAGATCCCTGTTTAGATGGGAAAGTTGCCTCTAGACTTTCAACATTCATTCATAGGTGAAAAGGGAATATTAGAAAAGGAATGGGATCCTACCATGTGGTCTGGGCTGAAGCATCACTGTGCCCTAGGAATGGAAATTGAAAGTCTTTCAGTGACCTGAACAGTGATTAAAACACAGACATTAGAAAGAAATAGTGAACCTGCATTCTGAGAACCTAAAAAGAAAAATATACTCAAAGACCTAGTTAAGGGATGCTCGTCAAACTCCAGTGTTAATAACTACGTTTCAGTGACTTTATTCTAACCTACTTTCTAATAGTCTGGATACCTGTAAAAAAAACCCGATTAATTCTGCAAGATCTAGTGAGCATTGTTTTTTCAAGTTAGTGAGAAACATTGTAAGGAAAATCATAGAATAGTTTGGGTTGGAAGAGACCTACAAAGGTCATCTAGTCCAACCCCCCTGCCATGGACAGGGACATCTTCACTCAGATCAGGCTGCTAACAATCACATCCAGCCTGGTCTTGAATGTCTTGGGTACTATGTAGTTAGGCAAAAGTAGGCTGTTCTGTGAATACTTACATTAAAAATACATCCTTACTTCTGATTTTAACTTTTTTTTTTTTTTTAAATTTTACACTTAGGCAAAAAATGCATCAAAATAGACCTAAATTAATATTTCTCCCATCGTTATTCCTGACTTCATTACATAGATGTGGTGCTTAGGGACATGATTTAGTGGTGAACTAGGCAGTGTTATATTAAAGGTTGGACTTGATGATCTTAAGGGTGTTCTTCCTAACCTAAATGGTTCTATGATTCTACATCAGCCTTTACAGAAATGCTTAACTGCCTACTAAAATAGACCCGTCATCTAACTCCAAGTACATGGTACACAGAGAACCAAACTCATTTCTAATTTGATCATTGGCCGTGATGTGGTTTTGTGTTCACAGTATATATTTTCCTCTCTATGTAAATCTACGTATCATTTGTATAAATTCTCTGATAATGCTGTTAAAACAAAGCATATCATACACTTAGAGCTTTAGCGCTTATATTGACAGCCTTTTTAAAAAGAGTGCAAAAATCAATCCTTCCTCAAACTGAGGATTAGCCAGCTACACAATAATGATCACTGTTGCAATATGTGCAATATGTGTCAAATCTAATAACCAAAGTCTGCCTAAATAAAAGAATGTGTTCAAAACGATTATTGGATTATTGCAGGCTCACACAGTCTGATGTCACTTTTCATGCTTCTTGGATGGCTTTTAGTATGTCTCAGCTGCTGCCACTCAACACGTGCTCTTTAAGCATGGAAAATAATGCAGGAATTTAGGAGAGCAGTGCTGATGGTTCGAATGAGATGGCTATTTGGTGAGCTGGTGACATAAAAGGCTATTCTTTTTCATCAGAAGGCTTTTCCACAAAGGCTGGGAGAGATCCTGCACTTCAGTTGATGCATACCCAGTTAGTACATATCCTCCTCATATAACTATTGACAGTGGTGGGCTTAACCAGCAGATGATGGCTTACTCTTAGTTCCTTGTCAGTCGCTGCACACACTGATCTACAGACCTGCGCTAACAACTGCCACCGGAGGGATACAGCTGCTTACTAGGGCTAGGGCTGGCCACCCACAGCAGCACAGATAGTTCTGGTCAGGGTGCAGGCCCTCAGCCAAGGAAAAAAGGGTTTCATGTGTTAGGCTAACAAACACGTGGGCTAAATGGTCTCTTACAATACAAAATTAGGTAAATTTGCTATTTTGTACTGGAGACCAGCGAATTACAGTCCTCTTGCCTTATGATGTGTGGATTGTGCTATATGCACTGCATCCTCAGTAGCCTGATTTTGTATATACCATTCTATGTTTCTACATATATAAAGTTGAAACAGTAAGCTTGTAAATAATGGTGGGTAGCTATTTGGTGTGATAGCATCACCCACAGCACATTCAGCTGCTGAGATAAGGATGGTTTTGAACAACAGGCTGTGAAGGCTTGAGTTAAAAAGGTACAGTCTGCCCTTTTCATCTGCCTAACTAATTTTGGGATTTCTGTGTGGGAATGTTGTGGCTATTATTGTTATAATTATACTTTAAATCTTTGACCCAGGTTTCTGAGGACTAGCGGTACACACTTTGCAGGAGCTAATACTTCCTTAGCAGTGGAGCAATTCACAGCTTTCTCACTGCCAGTGCACGTCTTGAGCTACAACTTTGATATAATGGGAAGTCTTAGTCCTTAAACTTTTCATGAAGCACCCTTTCCTCAGCTACAATTTTCTCTTTTACTTTGGAATTCCAAGTCAATCACCCTAAAATGTTAATGCTTTCAAAGCCTCTTGGAATACTTCAAGAAAAATTCAGGAATGTTTATCATAAACTATAATACTCAATACTTCTGTTAATGCTACAAGCCATTTTTGGAGTACAAGGGACCGTCAGACGACATCCAGTATCACATATGACTATTACACCGATCCCGAACAATATATTGTCGGATTAAGTGCTAAGGCAGTTGTTCCTTAGCAGCAGTGACTGTGCAGCTGGTGCCAAGAAGCTTCAAACTTGTCCATAATGCTGCAGTAAGTTCCCACTATTTGTAGTGTTCCCATGGGCTTGCACAGGGCAGGTATCTTGTGTAATTTCCAGTGCATGAGACAAACCCCTGTCACCTCATGTACGGTATCGCTCACAGGCAATGTGCCTGTGACAGGTGCAATTCCACAGAGCCACATTCAGGTCTGTTATCCTCGTCACCTCTTGCACTCTTTCTACATTCCATGTACTATTGTAGACAGCTGGCATGCAGCTATGTTGCATTAATTTCTGTTAAAACTTCAGGATCCAACGTGTTGCAGAGAACCTGCAGAATGCTTGCAGAGCACCTTTGCTGTTGATCTAAATCCAAAACCACCATGGTCGCAACTTCAGTTTCAGCTACTGTCTTGCAAACCAGTACTGTATCAGGTGATGGTAGGACGATTTTGCTTCCTTTCTGCTCACACACAATCTGTCAAACATTAGATTTACTTCAATATGGCTTAAAATGTATTATAAATATCGCTTCCCGCATTAGAATTTATTAAGATTGGAAGAGAAATACAGCCGCTTCTGCCAATGCAAAATGGCCAGGTTGTCTGATATGATTCTTGCAAACCGTGGAGTGATTGTCAGCTTTCACGCTTTATGTGAGGTGCTTTGAAAATCTGACTTCTGAAAACATGTTTTTCTTAAATTGCCACAAAATTTTGGAATCTTGACTTCAATATCAAGTTTCAAATTTTTTCCATCTGCCTCTTGTGCGTGACTGAGGCTGTGGGCACATTTCTTCCCTTATGACTACTGCTGTGGGACACTTGAGTCTCCAGCAGATACTGCTGCAGCCTTTCAGCTGTGGGGTGAACGTACAGAATACATTTCTGATATAACTTTGTGACAAAACCTCCACGCCATGCAGCCAGGTTTACGCAGTTTAAAACAATGAAGCATTCGCAGTCACTCTGCTTTTCATCAGCCTGCTCCAAAAGCCAGTAAAAGGAAACAGTACTATTAGCTTCTCATGCCAGAACTCTGATCATATTGGCTGGATAATTACTGACTAGATAGGAAACAACACCCTGGTAGACGCATCAAGGTAATCACCTAATGCTGCTCAGCGTAAGTGCAAGCTCTGTTGTTATCACCATCTGTAGCTCTCAGCTTCTATGTAAACCAGTAAACCAGTCACTTTGAGCACTGCAGAGGACAAGAAATCATTTGCTACCATGAAGTGTTGGCCTCTCCTGGTTTGAAATGGTGGAAGCAAATGCATAAGGATGGCCAGTACCTTACTCCTGGGGTTGGGAGACTCCTCTCTTCCAGTGACATCTTGAGGCACTGTTGAAGGGGCCACCATTCCCCCCGACTGCAGCTGCGGTTTCATGGTCCCTGGTGAAGGAGCAGCCATGCGTTTCCATGGGCCACCTATGCACCAGGCAGCACACACATGTATCACAGAGCTTCACTGCAGCTGCGGGGACAAACAGGGCAAACAATAGTCAGTCACCTGCTTGTGGCATGGCATCCTATGAGCTCAGTGCTCAGTTCTTGCTGCATTTCCATGGGTGATGGGAAGCAGGCTCCCTGCCATGGCAAGCTGAGGCGGCTTCTTCAGCACCATCCCTGCAGGTGCAATAGGTGTGCTTACACCTAGAGAGCCAGAATCACAGAAGCCTGGGAACCACAGGCAAACGCGTCGTCGTTCCCAGATGCAAGCTGCTCTGTAATTCCAAATGGAAAACATTTACTCCCCACCTGAAAGCAATGAACTTTGCACTTCTTTTATAACATTTTTTTTTCCGTGAAATACTGATAGTTTTTTCTAGACATTTTTCTATTAAAAGTTTGATTTGTTGAAATACAATTTTCCATCAGAAGTAATAAATGATGGATGCTTCCTTACCAGCCTTTGTTAAAACTGCATAAACCCAAATAAAACATTCCTTGTGGCATTACTAGGCTAATGCAATATATTCTAAAGGTCATATTTGTAAAAGGATGTTCTATACTGCATAGTCTCAGTGTTGAAAAACAGCCCAAGCTCAAGCTAAGTCCCGCTACAGTAATCTTTCCTTACCCTTTGTGTTCCCTGATTTCTGCAGTATACTGATTGTCAATAAATAGTCAGATTCCCTCATGTACTGTGCCCAGTGGCACTGTACATGTTGAAAAAGCATCTGCTGTATGAGCCGTGCTCTTTGAATTCTATCGATAGTACAGGGAAAACACAGTTTAAGTGCTTTAGCAGGCAAAATTCCAGCTAAAGAGATCAATTCTATTTACTGTTTTTTCTTCCTGTACATGATCCACTTAATCAAGCCATTAATGGGTCAGCTCCTGATGAAGAGAGTCAGAACCTGGTTTTTCAGAAGGCACATACAAAACATGAGGTGAGATTAAAGCAGCATCTTGTGAGAAGTCTTTGACTCTTTCCCTCTTGAACTACCAATCATTCTAACTGCAGGAGGGGAAGAGTGAAGAAGTGAAATAATAGCTATTACTTAACTACGTGGAGCCTACTTTGTGTTAAGATGAAGTTTTAGGTGTGCTTAGTATCTGTTTGATTTCACTAATGAGACTTCATAAATTATAAGCCAATAAAGAATTCAGATGGGAATGATTCCAAGCTGAATGTGAGAATTTTACTGCTGGCTATCAAAGGCCTTCTCCTAAAATGCTAATTTTTTACACATAGCCCTTTGATCAGCACAGATAGTGAATGTTAATCAAATAAAACTCTGACATAATTCTTGTTATTCTAAATGGGAACTGAAAAGTAGTCTGCCAAAGTTTAATTGTTCATTTGGGCTATGCTGCTATCACTTTGCAAATCTCAAGCCCTGATATTAGAGAATATCCTTTTAAAGAAGAATATTATTTTACTGGAGATGTGCCTGAATATCACTGGCATGAGAGCACAAATATTCCTCACTTCTGAGAGCTAAATTAATACTCTTACTCTCACTGAGTACTGCAGCAAGTTGCAGTGATGGGTGTACTGTGGGCTTGCATAAGGCAAGACTGGACACAGCATTTCTAAGTTAGCTGTAAGGTGAGATGACGTGGCCTGGCAGACTCCTCTGACATGCCCATTGCAAGTCTATGGCACAGTTCCATAAATGAGGCCACCAAAACAACCCATCCCACTAAGCCATGGCCACTATGGACCTTGCAAACACCTTGTTCTGACACTCAAATCATGTAGACAGTCACGTTATCGCTTGCCTGTGAAAAAAAAATGTAGTTAGGAGGGAAAGGAAACACCTTTGTTGTCTTCTGCCTAACAATCCTCTGATGGGGGAGCCACAGCCTAACACCAAAGTATTAAAAAGCCTTTCTGATTAGCTACTAGGAGAATAAAATGTGCCCTGAAGGAAAATCATTGCAAGAGAGGTGTTTATTCTACTATAACATAAACTCTACATTAAAGCTGAAACCACTATGATTTAATGTATGTAGAATATTTTTAACATAGACTTCCAGGTATATATCCACCTACTCTGAGGGGGAAAATATTCATTCTTTTCACAAATCTTAGGATATTCTTTTAAGCAACTTTCTGTATAAAGTTCTGATCATAGTATCACAGAACAGCACGGGTTGGAATGGTTTGGGTTGGAAAGGACCTTAAGATCATCTAGTTCCAACCCTCCTGCCATGGGCAGGGACACCTCACACTAGACCATGTCACCCAAGGCTCTGTCCAGCCTGACCTTGAACACTGCCAGGGATGGAGCATTCACAACTTCCCTGGGCAATCCATTCCAGTGCTTCATCACACTCACAGTAAAGAATTTCTTCCTAATATCCAATCTAAACTTCCCCTGTTTAAGTTTTAACCTGTTTAACCCTTGTCCTGTCACTACAGCCCCTAATGAAGAGTCCCTCCCCAGCATCCCCATAGCCCCCCTTCAGATACTGGAAGGCTGCTATGAGGTCTCCACGCAGCCTTCTCTTCTCCAGGCTGGACAGCCTCAACTTTCTCAGCCTGCTCCAGCCCCTGATCGTCCTTGTAGCCCTCCTTTGGATTTGCTCCAACAGTTCT